CTTCTGCTGTGTGGTTAGGTAACGCTGCTAGAGGAGAGCGCGCTACAGTTGCGGCAGCGTTAGTACTGCCGCTCATTGGCATTCGCATGAAAGGAAGTGGAGCTAGTCATTCGCGAAATTTGTTCGAAACCCGACTCCATCCCTGGAATGCGGCTGAAGATAGAGGCCATGATCGGAACGCAATCGGGAACTTCTTTTTCTTCCTTATTCCTTTCCAGGCCAATCCTCACTTCCAGCTCCATTATTGAACTTCTTGCACACCCATTTTATCCCGAGGCTTGCCTTTAATTCCCATTCCGCTAACAGCAGTGTGAACTTAGCTTATAAAAATCGACATTTCAAAATAGCCCTCTTAAGCGGCGCACACGCAGCAGGGATTAGTGACGACGTTCAGCCATTTGGCTTAGCATGCAGCAGTGAAGAGCTGACCACAGTTGAAAGACGGGGATTTAAAGGGAAAACATAGCCCTCGGGGTATGTTTCTTGAGAAATCGTGATAGACTTTATCCCACGGTCAAATTACCCTCTACTGGTGAGTAGATTAGCCTGTTCAGCGAAAACAATAAATATTGTACCCACTCCACAAGATGTCATCTCTTTTTTATTACAAGAGGGACATTTGAAATATGTAGGGCTTACAAGTAGTGGCGAAGTTCTCAGGCCTTCTTACAGAAGCCGTGAGCTCTAAGAGGATCAGGCTGCTAGCCGAAAGGCCTAAGGGACAGCATACAGTCGCACATAGGGCTGGTCCATTCAGAAGCTGTTGTTGACCTTCACAAAGATAGTAAATTAGGGCAGGCATGATCAGGGTAGCTAACATCTTCGAAAACTTCTCGATAGAGCTGGGAAAAGTCGTAATTGGCTCGCCGGAGGAGGTGAACGTCAGCTTGGTTCAGGTAAAAGTCGTTTGATAGCAACGGAGGGTCGTAGAAGCCTTAAGCCTTAGCTATCTGCCAGATCTTCTCAACTTGTCCCCTTTTTCAAAATGAGAGTATGCTAGGATAAATGAATATCAATACTCCATACAAAAACGAGAAGATCGTCGGGTGCAGACCACACACCACAAGTGACGACGGCCTCCACAAAATGTAAATGTTTTCTGCCAATGAAATGATTAGCCTGTTGCAGTTGTATTCTATCAGTTGTCACTAATTACAACGATTTACTTGGATGCCGTCGTACTGTGGTGTATGGTCTGCACCCGACGCTCTTCTCATTTTTGAAAGGGTACCTGTCAATGTTAGTATGCTCATATCCGGAGCATCACGCTAACCGGGTATTGGCTTGTAGCAAATTCCGATGTGCGGGAATAGAATGTATCGTCAGTGGAAGCTCAAGAAGAGCCGACGACTTCTGCAACACGTTGAATAAGCTCGGTACTCATTTAGCGCCTTCACAATGGAGGTCACATCAGGGCGCTAAATCTTGGAAGGAATCGCTTCAGCTGGAGTTGAAAGGAAACCGCTCAAGGATGCCTGATGTTTCCATAACATTCCTCTTGTAAAACGAATTAGCTCGACTCAGGCCCAATTATCATCACCACTGACCTTTGATGCCCACTATTTCCTGACGTTGCGCACTATTTTTGACCGATTACTACCCGGAAAGCTGACAACTTGATTAATTTCTCGCACCAACATAGTGGAGACTGGTTGCGCGGACAAATAATGAATCTACAGCAGAGCCTTCTTCATTTTTTTCTGCAGTGGTGTTTGAGGCTTGTAGCCGCGGTCCATAAAGCAGCACGGTAACGGCTCATCGCTGCTTTGATGGACGGATTGATGGGCTGTGAAATTCGCTGGCGACGTTTTAATTGGTTCGCATAGAAATAGCAGACAGGCGAAAACGAAAACATCACCGCCTAAACAACGCGAGCGCCCTGCTCATTTACGGTTATACATGGCGTAATTCAAGCTGCCAGAGGGGTGGAGAAACCAATTGTATAGTGGCTTCTAAAATGGGTTGAGAAAGTTGCGTGTAATAAAAAATCATGGGTTTTGAAAAGCAAATAGCGTGAGCGCTATTGCTTTAGCGTAGCTTAAATTACGACACTGTGATCGGCTGTTTTGAGGAATCGAACTCAGGAAGGATTTTTAGGTAGATGCTTGTGAGAGGGTAGGCTCTCCAGGGAAGTTCAACAGGCCGGTAGTCGCATGTGAAATGAGGTTCATACAGTTTCATGAGAAATCGAGCTCTTGGGTAGCTAAACTGAGGGTCGTCTGACGCGTTGGGACGCTGACCTCAGAACTGCTTTCCATATCTGCTAAACTGTTCTCTTTGACAGATTATGAAGCGGGACGGAAACGAATTGCGTAACGACGGTCCGGCTTAACAGGACTGCGATATCGTTAGAATCGACTCGGTATAAGCTATGCCGATTTTTGCTTTCTTGCGGACACGCACAGATAGATCTTTGTGACTCATTAGTAAAGGCTTAGACAATCGATCCGCGTCATGAAGGTGTGTAAGTAGTTCTAGCGGCAGTATGAAGAGGATAGCATGCAAAACAGTGCGCGGAAAGCCTCGGTAACTCTGCAGTGTGCCGACTTGTTCACCTTCTTTGTTTGGATAAAAAAGCATGGCGCAGTCTACGAACTAGAGGCAGTTATGGACTGCCTGAGAGATCTTTCGACATATAATGCTAGGTTTGGAGGAACAATTACTCACATGGAATCAACAAGAAGATAGCCTAGATGACGAAACACTCAGCAATGTACCGAAATCGACTACGTCCAGGCGGAATTTAGACGTGTCGTTGAAAACGGTATTTGGACGATATCATGAGACTTGTTGGGATGCAAGTGCTTTTATCTTCGAAAATGAACGTACTGATAATTCTAATGCAGAGACGGTGGACTCGTTTGATTTGTGCGAAGATTTAAAAGATCGAAATCGGGACACTTGGGGGGAAATGTATAGCGGGGCACCTTACCATACTTAACCTCCACCTGATTTCACCTTGCCTCTATGATTTCGTTAACACGCCTTGTCCAGTCACAAATGATAATTTCTGCAACATTGGAACGAGGGACGATGGTAATTTGGCAGGGTGGCGCTTTCACACAGTTCGGAGATCAAGATTACTGGAATCGCGCAATCGTCTAGAAGAGGCGGGCCTTGGTATCCACGAGGCGGAGACTCGTAGGTAAAACTGCATACCTGACTATCCTGGGGGGGGGGCGATAAAAAACACGACTCTGATGCACGCCTGGTACATTTAACTGGCACCGCGGGTTCAATCGTGTGACCACAAACTCGCAATCAACTGCTGTTTTGAATCCTGCGTCAGGACAGTAAGGCTACATGGTGCGTTCCCAATAAGGGACTAATCAATGCCGAATGCTTCTTGCATCGGAATTTCTCTCGATTCCGTGGGTTAAATGATTTATTGAAATTGATCTATTCAAAAATATTCACGATGCGCATCCAGTCAATGGGAATGCTTGGTTCTGAAAACGAGGGTTTCAGGTAGCAAATGGATTTCATTGTGGTTAGAACGAAGTCTTACTAAACCATGTACCCGTTCAGATTTGGTTGGTGTACTGGTCTTCGGCGCCTCCGTCTCCGAGATGTTCATTCGCGACAAGTACGGACAAGCAGCCGAAAGCAGATTAACCATCTCCGAAATAGCCTGGCCATTTCCCATAGTCATTTTGGTATGTTTTCCGAAAGCTTTCGATATTTCTTGCTCTTCTGTGGTAGAAGTGTCCCATGTATTTGTTAGCCTAATGTCTATGGGTTTCCCGGATAGAAATGAAGTAGAAATGAACTGAATAGGGTTGCCTAAGGGAGCCGGATTGTTTGTTCATTTATTTACTAATGTTTCCCATAACGACACCCTAATAAGGTTCAAAAGGCAATTGTTCACAAAGTGACAACAGAAACCGAATAAGGAGAGCAAGGAAAAAGTATGAGCGAGACAGGAAATTAAGCTAAGAATAGGGGTAGAGAAGGGCTTCAAAGTTGAGGGGTTAAAAATCAGATCTCAGGATCAGATCTCAGATAGTCCCATATATCTGCTTTTTTAGAATGTGATCCGTTCTTTATGGAAGCAATTCTTAATTTTTTGGATAGAAATTTTTGAAAGCCAAGGGCTACTGACAAGCGGTTTTCATTCCTTTATAAAACTCTTTCAATTTTGGAGGATATAACGTGATTACTGCATTTCATGGTGGACTACAATTTCAAGCTACTATGAATTTCCGCTTCGAAAAAATCGAATGCAAATGAGTGACTCGATTCAAAAATTGTGTTCCAGTTCGGATGCTTGGGTGCAACAATCGGAGCCGGTATGCAATCACTTACAGGAGCTCCACGTTTACTGCAAGCCATCGCTTCTGGTACGTCCATTACATAGTTTTTCTTAACGGTCGAATTCCAGAGAAAAAACTCAACATTCCGAATGAGTCATTTTCAATATTTGAATTACGAGTGCACACGATATTCAGCAAACCGCTGTTTACTATAATTGTAGTATAACTTTTTTTGACGTAGCCCATTCAGTCAACTTGCCTAGGAACATGAAAGGGATCCCTGTACGTGCAAAGCCCGCAAACTCATTGGTTGACTGAAGTGAATAGAAGCAGGGAGTCCAGAAAGTATGAAGCTGAATCGAATCACGTGCAGCATCGGAGTTGCTCTTGAGAGTAAACCAGTTTGAAGTCACGAGTCGCGATCAGATACTAAGAGCAATTCCGTGAGCAGGGTCAACCCTATGTTGAGACAAGTACCAACGACACGGGGGGTCGGTATTTCTGTTGAGTTTGTAGGCGGGTACGTACCTTGTGCAGTCGCGCGAAAATCGCTATGTCGGGGCTGGAGTGATTGTGATTGAATGGCCGTGGGAAAATTGCGATCTTTCTTGACATATATGGAAGGGTGTCCCACTGGCAATTAGCAGTAAAATAATGACCGTGAATATTTTGAGGGAGAAATAGATGGAAGATAAATTTTTACGGTTTCGTGGTAGGAATATGTCCCCGCTCGATAGCTGTTTTGGAGATTCTGGAATAAAAAGTGTGTGGAGTTGGACTGTGTCAACTGGTCCCAGAATCCAGTACGATGGTGAAGCGACCATTGATGACCGAGGGCGCCATGAAGTGGAGATTCGTGAAATTTTTTGAATTGGAAGGGCGGTGTTGTTAAAAACTTTCCGAAGAATTCCAAATGCTAGACGACCCCTGATCGTAGTGAGGTGAATGGAGGGCTGGCAAACCAGAGCTCTTGGCATGTCGCGATCGAAAGTGCGCGCAAAGGGTGACAAGGCATTGACTTGATTCCTGCGGGCCACATACCAATTTTTCTTTTCCTCTTAGACAGCAATATATGCTTCCGAAATCGCTGAACTGTTTACTGCACTAGGATTTCGTATTGCCTAACATCGAGAAAATATGGAATGATCCTATTCATTCATTTTAATTAGGTCACTTAAATGTCTTGGAACCTGAACGTTTTGAATAATCTAGAAAGTTTAACGAGATGAAGGAGGGTCTGGTTGCCATATCAGATGTGCCAATCATATTTTAAATTTTTTTGCTCTGATGCAAGTGAAGGATTCACGATTGGCAAATTATGCCTTAGGGCAAAATTATTCAGAATATATCTGGAAGAAAAAACATTTATGCAGAAAAAACAATTAAAATATACATTCCGAAGTGAAGGAGCATTGGGCTAGAAACGAGTTCAAAATGTAACCCGCTGAATTCATAGAGCATGGGAAGAACTAATTGACAACAAGCAATCCCTTTTGTATACGTCACGCTCTTAGACTTCTTCTGAACCGAGAATGGTATGCCTGATTGATGATGGCAGTGACTTATAGCATCTAACGATTTCTTTATCATCAAGATATCTGATAAGACTTCAGCTACGGAAAGGCGTGAAATGTTACCAACGTAGATGAGGCTCGATTCGTGGCTGTTAGCATGATATTAGATGATAATAGAAACAAATGAAAGGAAATTATTGCGTTTCGCTACCGCATATGCGATCGCTGCCTGGCTGACACCAAATCGAGCTGACAGAAATTTCGTTTTTAAACTGGTTGGCCATGGTCCCGGAAGAGGTCGATGAATTTGTACGATCGAGCAATCGATTCTTCCACCAATGACTGGGATTCCCTCTACCACCAGTGGGAATCCCTAATTTTGTGCTTGGGAGTACTTTGCTTGTTTTGGCCAAAACCTTCGCTTCATTAACTGCTTCGGCAAGGTGCTGCATTCAACAAGTTATACATATCCATTTTGCTTGACTGACGTACTTCATCATGCGTGATGTTTACTCGGCTTCTCGCGGCCTCAAAATGGCTGTGCATTTCATGAATTTTTCAGTAGCTTTCACCGTAAAAATAGCAAGGAACAACATGCTACGGCATGAAAAGGTTCCATCCGGGGTGCGGAGACCTCGTGCCGCCGTTTCTCAATAGAGAGGTATACGGTATTGACGTCTTTCACGTCACTTGAATTCCAAATTTGGTTACGCAAGCGACTAATGATGTCATGCCGTGTTCCGAGGTGCTCACGGCATATGGGTGAGAATTTCCATCAGAGAAATTTAGGGAACTGCAACTGAAAAGACTGTACGAAGCCTTCGATATGTAAATGATTCGGATTACAACTTTTAAACCTTTTAGAATCAATAGAATAATTTCAAAATCTTCCTAGAGGACTAACCAGGAAATGATGTTAAGTCGTATGGTCGTATGAGGTTGTACAAATACTAACCTAATTGCCTTTGAGCGCTCATGACATATCTCTCTCGAAACCTGCTGCGAACATTTGCGAGTAAGGCTATAGAGGTTTGAAGTTA